GCAGGAGGAGGAGGGGGAAGAGAAGGAGGAGGAGGAGGAGGAGGAGGAGGAGGAGGAGGAGGAGGAGGAGGAGGGGGAGGACAGGAGGAGGAGGAGGAGGAGAAGGAGGAGGAGGAGGAGGAAGAGGAGGAGGAGGAAGAAGAGGATGAGGAAGAGGACGAGGAGCACGAGGAGTGGGAGCCTGGATCGCAACGATGACTGTTTATTCGTAACGGGTACCGATTCTTTGACTTTCTGGCCTCGGGGCGCCCCTGGTCCATCCGCGGGCCCGGAACGGAACGAGTGGAGTTGATTTGTATCCGGTATCGATCGTGGATTTGTTGGCTTCCGGGCGCCCTGGGCCCCTCCTGGGGCCTTCCTGGGGCGTGTAACAGAACGAGTTGTAGTAGTCGTAGTCGTAGTCGTAGTCGTAGCAGTAGTAGTAGTAGTAGTAGTAGTAGTAGTAGTAGTAGTAGTAGTAGTAGTAGTAGTAGTAGTAGTAGTAGTAGTAGTATTAGTAGTAGTAGTATTAATAGTAGTAGTAGTAGTAGTAGTAGTAGTAGTAGTAGTAGTAGTAGTAGTAGTAGTAGTAGTAGTAGTAGTAGTAGTAGTAGTGGTAATGGTAGTGGTAGTGGTAGTCGTAGTAGTAGTCGTAGTCGTAGTACTAATAGTAGTGGGGGGGGGGGGGGGGGGGGGTAAGTGGATAGTGGTAGTGGTGATGGTAGTGGTAGTGGTAATGGTAGTGGAGGAAGTATGAGTAGAGTAGGATCAGCTGCATCTCGAGTCGGAGTCGCATGGCATGCCCAGTCCCACCCGCCCTCCCACAACATAAGAAGCAAAGCTGACACAACTGGGGGCCGAAGTTACACCGGCCAGCCGGTTTGGTACAGCTGATGCGGCCGCGATGGCGGTTGCCGACGGGAACTGGCGAGCGCGTGTTGAATGCCGAAAAACAGAAACTGTGTATTGTCTTTTGCAGATTAGAATGGGACGGATTGGATGGGCGGGCGCGGGGTGTGCGCCGCGTCCCATTCCTGCCATGCATTTTGCGACGTGGACGACAGGACGTCCATGCGACGGGGCCAATGACGGCGACGACTCTAGAAGGATTTGAGCATGCGCTCGCGGCGACGCGCGCGCATGTCGCCCGCGTGGTATTTTTTGCACAGGAGTCGCGGCCTGGGTGCATGACAGAGCATCGCGAGTGCACCGCGCGATGACGTGAAATCGCTGGATTTGACAGAATTCTTAAGATTCCTATGGTTTTCCTATGATTTCAGCAAGAGAGCCCGGGCGGGAAATTTGTACAATTTTTGTGAAAAAGCATGGGGTTTTTGATGTTTTTATGTTGAAATGCTTGCAAACACACGGTGTTCGGTAGGATTCTGACATGAACGCGCGCGTTTGCTCTTTGTGGTATTTTTTGCAATGGATTATCGCCGTGGACGACAGGACGTCCATGTCGAGAGGAAAAAATAAGAAAAATGTTGATTTTGTATTGTATTTTTTACAGGTTAGGATGGGACCACCCGGATGCGGCCCCTATCGGCCGGCCTGAGGGGGAGTAGGAGTATATTCTAATAAGGAATAAGGAATAAGGATAGGAGTAGGAGTAGGAGTAG